TTGCCGAAACTCGCGTGTGACCGTTTGGACTAACCGCCTCGACGACAACAATGAAAACCAAACACACACAACAAACTCCTGTGTAAAGTGCGCCGATCGAATTGTGACAGCGCCACCTGGCGATAATCGACGTCACCGACGAGAGCGCGCCCCAGTGAGCAAAAAAAGAAATCGGGGAAAAAAAATACCAAAACCCGCGAAGGACAGGCAGCGCCGCCTAGCGGCGACCGCACCTCGCGATCGCGGGACGGACATGCGACGAGACCCCCCGCTGCATCGCCGGCGCCACCTACGCTGACGTCGCCGTCGCCATGGCGCACAACGCAAACTCGTCGTCGTTGCCGCGGCGATGCGACAGCCCGCCGCGGACAGGGCTTGCGAGCGGCGGCAGCATCACGCCCGTGTCGACGGACACGCCGCGTAAAGGCAAGTACATCCTCGCTCGCGTCGTCATGCTCGACGACACGGAGGGCCTGTTCAAGGTGCCGCAGAAGGCTCTGGGGAAGGTGCTCTACCAGCAGGTGTGCAAGAACCTGAACTTGTTGGAGAGCGACTATTTCGGGCTGGAGTTCACGGATTTGCTCGGGAACCGCTGCTGGCTGGACCTCGACAAGGCCTTCTGGAAACAGGTGAGAGTACGGTTAGGGTGGGGTTAGGGTGAGGGTGAGGGTTAGGGGTGGGTTAGGGTTAGAGTAGAGGTTAAGGTTAGGGTAGTGTTGGGGTAGGGCTAAGGTTGGGGTTAGAGTTAGGATTAAGGTTAGGGTTGGTGTTAGAATTAGGGTAGGGTTTGGGGTTAGGGTGGGTGTTAAGGTTAGGGTTAGGGTTAGGATTAAGATATGGTTAGGATTAAGATATGGTTAGGCTTAAGGTTGGGGTTAGGGTGGGGCTCTCTCCAGACCAATATAGTAGTCAATGGTGAATTGGCCAAGGTCAACTGCCAAGAGGCCATCTAGCTTTGCACCCCCACCCCCCGCTAGACAGAATGCTTCAGCTACGCTCTTTTTAGTAGCAGTAGCAGTAACAGACGTTTTAGCAGCAGCAGCACCAGCAGCAGCAGCAGCAACAGAAGCAGAAGCAGTAAAATATTTATTACCCTAAAACATGCCATTATGCAAACATTGTGACAGTCACTATCCCTGTAAATGGCAGTAAATGGAAATACATTATCTACTGTTGCTAATATATTGTGCTTGGCTCTATTGCACGCGATCGCTGTCACAGCAAGGACCTTCTCAGATTATTATGAATCCGGGGTTATCGTTATATACTATTAATAATAATTATAATTATTATCATCATCATCATTATTTTGTTGTTGTTGTAATCATCGTCATCATTATTATTATTATTATTATTTTTATTATTATTATTATCTCTGCCAAGGGGTTGGCATGTTTTTACCAGCGTGTGTTTGTTGGTTTGTGGGTTTGTGCGTTGGTTTGTTTGTGTACAGCCTAACTAGAAAAGTTCTGGAAGGATTGTCATAAAATTTTCAGGAAAGGTCAGAAATGGGGTAACTTAGAATTGATTAGATTTTGGTGGTAATCCGGACCCAATTAATTAATTAATTAATCAATTAATAAAATTTTCAGGATAGGTCAGAAATGGGGTAACTTGGGAATTGATTACATTTTGGTGGTGATCCGGATTCAATTAATTATTTAATTAATTAATTAATAAAAATTTTTACAGTGAGAGAATTGAGCTGCCTTGGCGGCCTGCGCTCTCCAAGTGCTCTAGTTGTTATTATTTTTACCCTTATTATTACCTTTATTATTATCATTTTGCCATCATCATTACCATTGTAATTGTCATCACCATCATCATCACCATTGTAATTGTCATCACCATCATCATCACCATTGTTATTCGTTAATTACTCTCTCGCACCATCGTTACAGGTGTGCGGACTCCCCACGCTTCGCTTCAACTTTGCCGTCAAGTTCTACACGCCGGACCCGGGCCAGCTGGAGGAGGAGTACACGCGCTACCTGTTCGCGCTGCAGATAAAGCGCGACCTGGTGACGGGCGCAATGCCGTGCAACGACGCCACCGCCGCCCTCCTCGCGTCCTACGTCGTGCAGGCCGAGTGCGGGGACTTCACGAGCGAGGACTACCCGGATCATTCCTACCTCTCGCACTACAAGTTCGTTCCGCATCAGTGCGACGATCTCGAGCGACAGATCATGGACAATCACCGCCGGCACGTCGGGCTGTCGCCGGCGGACGCTGACTACATGCTCCTGGACATCGCGCGCAAGGTCGAGTTGTACGGCGTGAAGGTTCACTCCGCGCGCGACCACGAGGGGGTTCCGCTGAACCTCGCCGTCGCTCACCTCGGGTTGCACGTGTTCCAGCAGTTCACGAAGATCAACACGTTCTCGTGGGCGAAGGTACGCAAGCTGAGCTTCAAGCGGCGGCGCTTCCTCGTCAAGCTGCACCCGGAGGGACACGGCTACTACAAGGACACGGTCGAGTTCTACTTCGACGACCGCGACCGCTGTAAGAACTTCTGGAAGAAGTGCGTCGAGCACCACGCGTTCTTCCGCTGCGCAACGGTCGCGCGCATCCCGCGGCGACGGAAGACGCTGCTCAGCAAGGGATCGCAGTTCCGCTACAGCGGTCGCACGATGAAGGAGATGGTGGACGACGTGCGGGACGGCTACGTGAAGCGCGCGCCGTTCGCGCGCACTCTCAGCGGACGCACGTCTCGAAGTCTCGGACATCTCGGCGGCGGCGGCGGGCCCGCGCCGCGGATCAACGCCGCGCTCATCCGCGCTCAGCGAGCCGCGGATGGTGCGTCGCGGGTCAGAGACGAGCGGGGCGTCGCACCACCTGGTGGCGGCGGCGGGAAGCGACGTGACGACGCCGCGGAGCGAGCGCGGCGGGGACTTTGCGAGCGCGAGCAGTAGGGAGGTGACCCCGGCGCTGACCCCGTCCACCCCGCCGCCGCGCATCGAGATGCTGCCGCCGCAGAGACTGCCTGAGGCGCGCGGCCTGTCCCCGAGCCCACCGCCACCGCGCCGCGAGAGCGCGTCCAGCCCAGAGGTGGCGCCACCGGGCACCGTGACGGCCGACGTCGAGGAGGGGGCGCCGCCGTCGCCGGACGAGTCGCCGCGGAAACAGCCGAACGTGCCTTCGCGACCGGAGATTCCATACATCCCGCCCCCGGATGTGCCGCCGCCGCCGCCGTCCGAGCCGGAATTCGAGCAGCAGCAGCAGCAGTGGCGTCAGCAGCTGCAGCAGCAACAGCAGCAACTCTACCAACAGCAGCAGCAACAACAACAGCAGCAGCAGAATCGGCAGGAGGCGGAGAACGAAGTGCAGGACGAAAAGAACGAGGAGGACGAGGAGCAGGAGGAGGTCAAGCAGAAAGAACCGAGCAGCAAGGAGGAGGAGATCCACGCACTGAAGGAGAACGACAACGCCCACAACGCCCACAACGGGGCGCCACCTACCGCGTCGTCGCCCTCTCCGCTGCACGTGATCCCGCACGAGCCCCCGGCCGTGCCCCTCAAGCGCAAGGCCTACCCGCACGACCGCTCCTACTACATGTGCAAGGAGCTGCTATCGACCGAGCGGACGTACCGCACCGACCTCGAGGTCATCACCGTCGCTCTCCGCCGCGAGATGGCGCCACTAGACGACGCGGCGGCGCTCGGCACCATCGTCTCGCTCGTCGAACCGATCCACCGCGTCCACTGCGCCGTCATGAAGGAACTCGAGGCGCGCCTCGCCGCGTGGGAGACGCGTCCGGCAGGGGGCGCCGCCGCGGTGTGCAACCGCGTCGGCGACGTCTTCCTCACCCGGCTCGACCTCGACGCGTACGCCACCTACCTGGACGCTCTCGCGCCCGCGCTGTCTGCGCTCGACGCCGCGTGCCGCGCCGGTGGCGCCCTCGCGCGGTTCCGGCGCGCGTTCGAGACGCGCCGCGACTGCTACCTCCCGCTGAACCTGCTCGCGGTGAAACCGGCGCAGCGGCTGCTGCACTACCGCCGCGTGCTGGAGACGATGCTGCACTACTACGGCGCGTCGCACGCGGACGCCGCCGACCTCCGCGCGGCTCTCGCCGGCGTCACGGCGACGCTCGACGCTCGCGCGGACGCGCGCCGAGCCTGCGACAATCTCGTCAAGCTGATCGAGGTTCAGCGTGACCTCGGCGGCGTGGACGGGGTCGTGGACGCGCGGCGCGCGTTCGTGCGCGAGGGGTGCATGCAGAAGTTCTCGAAGCGCGGGTACCAGCAGCGGATGTTCTTCCTGTTCTCGGACGCGCTGGTGTACGCGAACCGCACCTCGCAGCCCTACCTGCAGTTCAAGGTTCACGGGCAGCTGGCGGTGCGCGGCATGGTCGTCGAGGAGACGCCGGAGTCGCGCGTTGCCGTGCCGCACTGCTTCGCGCTCTACAACGGCAGCCGGGCGATCAACGTCGCCGCGAGCAGCGAGGAGGAGAAGTACCGCTGGGTGGAGGACATCAACCGCGCGATCGCTGCGGCGGGGCGGGACGACGACGCCGCCGCGCGTCCCCCCGCGCTGCGTCTCCGTGACGACGCAGACGACGGACGCGGGGGCGCGGGCGACGACGACACGCCGGAGGCTCGCGAGCGCAGCTTCCAGCAGCGCGGCAACACGTCGACGCACGTCTGCTGGCACCGCAACGCGAGCGTCGGTGCGCGCGATTACCGCCGCGCCGCCGCCGCGCAGCTCAGCGGATACCTCCTCCGCAAGTTCAAGAACTCGGACGGCTGGCAGAAGCTGTGGGTCGTCTTCGCGAACTTCTGCCTCTTCTTCTACAAGACGTTCAACGACGACGCGCCGCTCGCGAGCCTCCCGGTGCTCGGCTACGCGGCGTCGACGCCCGAGCCGTGCGACGCCATCCAGAAGGACCTCGTCTTCAAGCTGCAGTTCAAGAACCACGTCTACTTCTTCCGCGCGGAGAGCGAGTACCTCTTCGGCCGCTGGATGGAGGTGGTGGGCAGCGCGACGCAGGCCGCGACGCCGCACGACCGGGCGTACGGAGGAGGGGGCGGAGGGGGAGGCGGAGGAGGTCTCGACTCGTATTTCGACTCCGACTACTGAGCGAGGCAGCGAGTGTTTCCTTCCATAGCCGCGATGCAGCATGGTCGTCTATTGTCGCGGACATCGGGCGACGCGATGGTGTCGCAGCATGTTGCAGCGCGCACGTGCGTGGTCCTGCCGATGCCGCGCGTCCTTCCATAACCGCGATGAGGCGGCGTGGTGTCCGTAGCCGTGTGCGCGCACGCAGCGCGGTGGTGTCGTGTCATGTCGTAATGACGCGCAGCGACCGCCAGGTGGCATCGGAGTCGTGTCGCGTGCGCGCTTGACCACCAGGTGGCGCTGTGCTCGTCCGGCGCACCCGAATCGCGGGCGGACCAGACCGAAAGCCGCGATGTGTTTCCCGCGCGTGTTCATTCTGTAAGTGCTTCCATAGTCTGACAACGCGCGTGTGTAAGGAAGCGCGCTGCCCGCGGCAACCGTTGCCGGGCGGAGCAGTCGACAAGCAGACGCGCGACTGCTGCTAGTGGCGCAACCTGCAGAGACAGTGAGTGTGAATCCACCGCCTCGCACGCATGATTACCGACGATGACGATGATGTGTGTGTTCGCGTGTCCGCAGCCGCGTGTAGGACGACCCTCTAGGTGGTGGCGGCGGGTCACGGACGAGCGTGCCTGCCTGTAAGAAAGGCAACTCTAAAGTCCCAGTCCCAACGCCCGGTGTTGGTCCAGTGTTGGTCTCAACACTGGACTGGGACCACCCAGTGTTGGGTGGTCTGGCCCAACCGAGGTTGGTTGGACCTGGGTGGTGGCCCCACCTGGGTGGTTGGACTGGCCCCAGCCAGTGTTGGCCCCAGTGCCCAAGCCTCTCCTGAGGGCAGAGGAATTCACGGAGCCGTGCGAAAGAATGTTCGGTTCGTCTGTGACCTCCCCGCCCCTTCTTTTGCCGGGAGACGCAGTCGTTTGTCAGTGAGAAGGAACGATGCGTTCGTGTGCGACCGTTCTCTCTCCCACGGAGAGACCAATCGTGACAGTGCAACGAAATGTTCTGTTGATCCGCAACCCCCTCCCTCCTTCTGCTGCGAAATAAATCGTGTGGCCGTGGAAAGGAATGTGTCTTCCGTCACGTGTGACTGCCCGCCCTTCTCCCGCGGAGAGACACGAATTGTGACCGTGGAAAGGAAGGTTCCCATCACGTGTGGCGCGACCTCTCTCCTTCTGCTGGAATACAAAGCGAAACTCGCGCAAAGGAATGTTGTGTGATCCGTGGCTATGCTTGGTCAGACAAAATCTGTCAGCCCATCAGGTCCTGCAGGTGGAAATGCGAAACTAACCCTTTCTTCCCCCTCCCTGCCATCACCCCAATTTGATTCAACGTCACCCCTGTCATATCTGTAGAAGGCATTGAGTACATTCCAGGAGATAGGACTAAGGCTGATTAATGTAGTTGATGCTACTAGGGTCAGCACGATCTGTCTCTGTAGTTCGTTACGATTGCGGTGCCTCCAACGTCTTCATTTTTACCTTGGTCCTATTTCTGCGTGAAGTCAATGTCCGGAATTCCAGGTGGTTTTTCGGACTTTTTAAACCCGTTCGTATTCCGGTAAGCATGCAATGCAACAAACCTCTACTCTGTTCGTGTCACCATGCCTGCCAACCTTATCGATGACTCAATCTGACATTGGTTGGCACATTTAGCCGCGAGAAATGGACAACTGTGCGACATAATTCTCGCGTTTGGTTCGGCGAGGGTCCGTGTGAGTCCCACCACCCGCGTGAAAGTTGGAGGTAGACGCTGTCAGGCGATGCATGCTGTAATTTTCGCGAGATGTGAGATCGGGAGTATTGCTGGTCACGCGCGTTGACCGGGAGTGATAGGTACACGGCCTGTGCACTGCCTGCCTCTCTGCTCTCACGTTGCCCTATGCACTACCCCTACACTGAACCCGCTACCACACGCTGCACTACCACCACCCACGTTATTCTCAGGGTCGTTGTCTGGCAAGGTGCACACCATGCTACCAACGCAGAGTATTTTTTACTGATCGTACTTAGGAGCGCCGAAACGCGTTTTCTACTCGGATCTCATGACGTGGCTCCACCTGGCGGACCCCGAGAGAGCGTTGCCACGGCGACCGTCGGCGGGCGTCCGGAACACGATGCGAGATTCTCCCGCGCGGTTTTAGACGTTCCCCAATGCATTTACTTTCCACGGAATCGGGAGAGGAGAGCAGCGAGGCGCGGCATGGGGCGGCAGTCTCATTCGTTCCTGTATATATACTTATATCGATAGCGGTGGCGAGTTTTGAGACGAGTTTTGGGGTTTTCACACATCGAGCATTTCGCGTGCGTGGTGACGTCACCGGCTGCCGTAGTTTTGTAACGTTTCCCGTGTACGTGTCGGCGGCTAGTGGCGCCACCTTTTAAATGATTTGACATTCGCCGAAAACTCGATCGACCGTTCAGAATCGGGCGGCGGATCGAGGTCGAAGTGAATAAAGGTAAAAACTAATGATTTTATTAACTAATGGTTGTTTAATTACACTCCGCATTGCGAATGATGCAAGGTTACTGACGACGATAAATCAATTAAGGTTAGTGTGCGTGAGCGACGGTAGATGGCAGCACCGGCATATTTCCGGGGTATCACCGACGGTAGAGCTACATGGCGATAATTAGCGCATATATATCGTCTGCCTCGTGCGCCCACCGACCATGTATGTATTTGTCTCACGTGTCTCCCCCCAACCCCCGCCCATGTGACGTCATGGCAGAGGCAGCGCCATCTGGTGTGCATTTTTTTACCGAAATCACTTATGCCCGTCGAGAAAATGATGTATCTCCTGTGTCTGTAGAAAAAAACACTTGTGAATGTCGTCCATCCGCACGCCACGCGCGTTTCATAGCAGCAGCACGTCTCGGCTCGCCGACGAAAGAACGAGTAGTTAGACTGACACCGCATGTCGCCATGTGCATGCGGATCTACGCCGCCAGAGGGCGCAGTTGTTGTTCGCGGATTTCTTCGTGTTCGTGCGCGCGCGCCAAGTGCCGGTTTTCCCTCCCTTTATTCGGGCGGTTTTTACATTTTTGACTCGATTTGTTAACATTATTCTTGTCAAAGGACCTGAGTGTTGTTTTGTGTAGCTAATTTCGCGTGCGTGAATACCCTGGGGGTGAAGGTTGTGATAGTAAGATATACATACATATATATATATGTATGTATGTATGTATGTATGTATATATATATATATATATCCAGCTAGGTCGACTGTCTAGTAGGGGGTCAGGTTAGTGAAGGACGAGCAAGGCATACTGTCTAGTTTTTAATGTTCTTTGCCATATCAGTACCAGTTCTCACTGCTCTCGCTTGTTCGGTATCGCCATCATTTTAACTGTACAAACTCAAGTGTACGCTTTTGCGTTATAGTTATTTCCCTTCTATAGCTGTCGTACGTAACGAAACGTGTCCGTCGGCGGCGTTTCGATTCTTATATGCAGTTTGTGACTAGCTACATTTTGTGTGTAGCTATGATTATGATAGCAGCAATTTTTGTACGTGTGCGTTCTGCTTGCGGATCGGTTTAGCAATCGCCGACTGTGTTGTGTGTAAGCGTCATCTGCCATGGCTGTTTGTAGAGAGAGCGAGAGAGAGAGAGAGAGAGAGAGAGAGAGAGAGAGAGAGAGAGAGAGAGGGAGGGAGGGAGAGAGAAGAGAGAGAGAGAAGAGAGAGGAGAGAGAGAGAGAGAGAGAGAGGAGAGAACAGAGAGAAGAGGAGGAGAGAGATGGAGAGAGATGAAGAAAGCGGACGAGCGCGCGGCTGAAAGAGAGACGAAAGCGGAGAGGGTCGTAGAAGCAGTAGCGAGAAAAGAGAGAAGAGGAGAGAGGAGAGACGAGAGCGAGAGACGAGACGACGACGATGAGGAGAGAGGAGAGAGATCGAGATGAGGGAGAATGAAAGAGAGCGAGGGTAGGTGAGAGTGAAGAAACAGACAGACGGGAGGCAGACAGGACAGTACAGAAGGCAGAGGTGGGTTCGCTGTTGAGGAAAGAGAAAAGGGTTCAGCGGCAGATAGAGAGATCTATGTCCGAAGGTTGTGGAGATAAATTGTGTTGCATGTCCGCGTTAATTTTTATGCGTTGTATGCGTTGGATCGTCGGTGACAATTGTTCGATAATAATACAGTTACTACTATTATACTCTTCATAGAACCCCGCTGTTCTGTTGTTTATCAGTTTGTTGCGTGAGCTAGTTATTTAGTGGCTAGCTATGGAAGGCTTGCGAGGTTCTAACACACACGTCCCAGCGCCAACACTAAGCGGGCCATGCATCGCACGCACGCACGTACGCGGCGCACACGAGCACACCAACAGAGTGAGAGAGAGAGAGAGAGAGAGATGAGAGAGAGAGAGAGAGAGAGAGAGAGAAGAGAGAGAGACCACTACACACACACCACACAGCACGCACGCACGCCACGCAACGGCACGCACGCCGCACGGCAGCACCACGCACGGCACGGCACACACACACACACACACACACACACACACTACACAGGCGCACCACACACACCAACACACACACACACAACACACACACACACACACACACACACACACACACACAGCATCCAACACACACAGAGAGAGTAGAGGAGAGAGAGAGAGAGAAAGAGAGAGAGAGAGAGAGAGAGACGCTAACACAATTAATTTCAGCGAGTAAATTGTTTGTTCTCTAACACGATGCGGTGTTGGTCTAATAGTGTCAGCCTTTAGTAGTGTTAGTAGAAGACAGCCGACCATACGTCGACGCTGTATGCTCCGCCAGGTGGCGTGTATTCTTAGCACGTACTCTCGTAGTTGTTATGCATGTTGAGCGTCGTTCATTATTAGCAGCAAACATTTCGTTGACCCCCTCCCCCATTCTGCGTGACACGCTCGCCGTGCATACGTCGTAAAAACACATCGTCTTTCTGTAAATCAACGCAATCACATTACGTACGTCTGTCGCGTGCGTTTGTTTTTCGAACCGATTTTTTAAACATTTTCCCTCGTTAATGAACTTTGAATGAAATAGAAAAAAACGCTGACGTTTTTTTTTGCTATAGCGGGAGCATTTTCTCGAGTTAATTAGACTGATAGAACGCTTGCGAGGAGTCTTTCAGGATCTGCTATTCTCTCTATTCAAGTGTATTAACACGGTTAGCTTGAAATTTACAGTAGAGATCCGTAACACCACAGAACCAAATTTAAACAGTGATTGTCAGAGTTGGGCTCAACTCCCAAATTTATTTCATCTTGACGCGCGAACACTATGTAGCTTCACATAGCAAAATAGAATTGTTCTTGCTCGAGCGTTTGTACACAAAACTGCCTACTTTTTTTCAATACTATCCGAGCATTAAGTAGATTATTATAATGAGATAAACAAACGATGTTTACAGAATGCTGGACATTGGTAACACGTAAGCATCAATTTTACAGGTATTCCTTGTTCATTATCATTAATGTATCTCTTAAAACTGATACTATTTGATGTATATCGCACTACAGGAACAAATGTTAAATTTGTATGATAGTGGGAGGGGGGGGGAGTTCTAGGGAATATTTGGCCAGTCCAAACACATTGTATAATACGGAAAGAGTGTTATTTACAATACTATTTAATCTACATGGTGAAGTAAGGTGCGTGAACAGATGACAATATCAATAAATGGCTGCCACATTAAAGACGTACCATCCCTGACTGATACTCACTTAAGAGGAACCATCGCTGATATTATGCTTACTGAAGAGTACCTGGCTTACGCTTGGGGTTAAATTACGTCCCTGCACTATGTGTTATAAGATTGTATTGAATAGCAGGTGGCACCCGATTGACGTAATACCGTAGCTTTGCAAGACTACATGAGTATGTTTCCTAACTAATCCTTAACAAGGTAATAACAAAGCAACACAAACCAGATTGCCATCAAACAAGGATTACCTGTAATATATTAGGGCTTGTCACACACATGCAAGCCTATTACTCAATGATGAAGATCGATACCTTCCATATTTCATTAAAATATTCATTCGTTAATGATTCTGAGAGGTATCAACTGGCAACTATTTCAACATTTCTGGTTCACCTATCCTCTACTTTCCGAATTAAAAAGTTAAAAGGCACCCGTTTTTTTTTATAAATACGTAGCATTTCACTGCACATCAAGTTATAAATATATCAAGCATTTCTAGATACATTTAACTTTTCTCCACACACTCCTGAGACAGGAGTCTTATTTCTTATTACAATTACTACAGAATACTTCCACAATGCTCATCATCAATGCTCTGTGTAATCAGTGCATCTACTATAAAACTTATACTGCCTTTGAACAACATACATGCAGGGTGCGAAATTAACGGGAGTCCGGAGTCAAATATTCCCTGATTTGACATATGCAGGAGTCCGTGTGACTCCCTGAAAATTCTGCGATACCGACTAGTTCGTTCCGGAGCACGGCCTAGCGGAATTACCATATTTTTTCAGCTAATGCCCGAAGAAAATTTGGCAGACGTGCAACTGCATGAATCTTAAAAATAAGCACATGCGTTATTGTTATTATCTTTAATTTTGAACCTCAGACTGCGGACTCCCTCATTTTGCTGCGGACTCCCTCATTTTGCTGCGGACTCCCTCTTTTTGAGGGTAGGGAGTCCGTTGGACTCCCGTGTTCAAAAGTTAATTTCTACCCCTTTACATGTACGTTTTCTTTCTCAATCGTGACATCACCACAATCGTTTAGTACTCACTTACTGCATAACATGGTCACGAGTGTCACATCTGATTGTACCTTGCGTTTATTCTACACTTTACGACATACATTCTCAAACTTGTAAAATAAATTAGATGTGTAGCCATCATGGAGGATTGAGGAGCAAATGCTGAAAGCAATTACAATTCACAGCAACTACTCTTCATACTATCTCGTGCGCCGTTCCCCCTTCTGTGTTCTCTTTTTCTCCTTCTCTTTCCTTTCTTCAACTTTCTTCTTCTGCTCATCTCTCCCCTGCTGGTCGCGTGTTTTCTTCTTTTGCATTTCCTCCTTCATCTTCTCTCTGCGATCCTTTTCTACGTTCATCACCGACTGCACGTTGACGTTCTTGTACAGTCCAGCATCGTCGTCGTCATAGTCACCGTCGTCATGGTCTTCATCACCGTCAGAACCTTCATCTGCCACGTTACCGTAGTGCGAAACGATCGCGTCTCGTCGTTGCTTTTCCTCTTCTGTGATTTTCTGCGTTCTTGCCACGGAGGGAATATCTTTACCTAGCATGCTGGAAAGTTTGTCTTCGACGGAGAATTTTGCGGCATCGGTTTTGTCAGTGATTTGAGTTCCTGAAGCTGATTCCCATCTGATAAGAACAAATGTATAGAACTTAGAAGGATATAATCAAGTAGAATTATATTTTGCGCACACTACAGTCCACGGATAGTTTTAATTACCAGCTGGATTTCTACTTTCCATTCACAAATTCACAAAGAGTTAGCAGCAACTTCAAGAATTGATGAAACATATATTCCTAACCCAAACAACAACCCGACCCCTAACAAAAGTCAAAACTCAAAAGTATCACTGTCAGAAGATGTAGTGACTGAGTATCAGTGATGTCAATGATGTACCTGTCTGTCATATATTATATGATGCCTGTCACTGTGTGTGTGCGTGTGCGAGTGCTTGCGTAAATCCGAGTGTGCGTGTATGCCTGTGAGCTAAACAATACATTTTATAAATCACATGATAGTTTCGTATACCGTACTGGCGTACACTCAATCAATGTTCAAACGACAACGTGTTTACCTGTCCAATATTTCATCACAGACTTTCTGGGAGTCTGCATCTACACAACTTTGAATAATGCCCTGTAAGGCCTCGTTCTTTTCTTCCGCTGATTCATCCCCTTCCAATATGCCTACTATGTATGAGTGAAAGACATCTGCATCAATTTCTAAAGTCACTAATTTATTAGAAAGCCAATTATCGAAACTTTCAGTGGGGGCTGCCATTTTTTCCCTGCCATATGATACGGGTTGCGTGATTGGTTGGCTTTTACATGAGCGAATAAGAATGAGCTTTACAAATCTGCTACCAACATGACCAAGCATGGCAGCAGGTAAGGAGCAGAAATTATACATCAATCAGTTATTCAACTTCTACGGTTGTATTGTCACATTATTGTGATCTGACCCCATTGTAAATAATTATTAATTCTACATCTAATAAATAGCTCAAACTGTTGTTTTTTTTGCAGAAGAGGGAGGATGCTTGCTTGTAGTTATTGTGGATACAAATCCAGTGTGGTGGGGAGAAAATTGTATGCAAACCGAATCAGGAGTGGACGAGAATGTAAGTTGTTGGGTCGAATTAATGTGTTAACACCAAGACAAGAGTAATATGATTATCATAAACTCACTAAGAAAAGTGCTTTTTCCCACAGAAAACATTACACGAGATTTGTTCTACTACACATGTAGTATGCTACGTTACGGTTATATATTAGTAAGGCTGAGAGGATCTATGTCCCCCAGGCCCAGGGTACTGCCGGAACGTACCCTAGGTACGGTCCGGTATACCGGAACGTACCCTGGTACTATCTAATATGCCGGACTGTACCTCGCCTACTCCACTAACGAGTCTAGGTAATTGCCTACGCCTACTCCCTAACCCTAACCCTAAACTTAACCCTAACCTTAACCCTAACCATATCAAATAGTTACCAGGGTACGTGCCGGTATACCGGACCGTACCCAAGGTACGTTCCGGCAGTACCCTGGGGGACATAGACCCTATAAGCATTAGTAAGGTGATGTCTGATGCGTCAGCACATGCCATAAATTTGTTCCAGTTAATTTTGAGTAATTTTTTGGCCATTCCAGCAACTTCATAAATGCCTCGACAGCATCATGGTTTTCTGCAACTCGCATCTAATGTTGAACAGTGAAAACAAGCTCGCTGTGTTAGCCTCCCATACAGATCAGAGGTATGTTTATACTCACAGGTACTTGGAGCGTTTCAATAAAATATAATGCTAAATAAATACGAAATCTATTTACTACCAAAGTCTTCATGTTTTTATACTCTCTTTCACCTATTATTGCCGACAATTTTCTGCAAATGCTGTCCAAATGCTTATCTGCAACAAACGCTGGCTGCCGCTGCACACTGACACATAAATATATAGCAGGTAGGAATGCGTGCTGCCAAAATTCGCTCGACGCTCGCTTGATTTCACACGAATACAACACAAATATTCAACCTACTTTTACAACAACCTTCAATAACCTTCAAATCTACTCCATCTTTGTTTCTATTTGAAGGACAGTGTTCACTTGTTATAAAAACATATTGTCTGTGTTCGTAACCGAGCTGTGTCACGCGAAATCACACAAAGCCTGACGAAATTCTCGCGTTTGCTCCCGTTGCGCAGTTTATGTAAATGGCTGCAAGTACAGGGCTATAGACGACGCACTGCATTTTGGGAAATTACCACGCTGCTTTCCAACTCCCGTACCAGCCTCGTCAAAGCCAAGGTCGAAGCCGCCAGTGGAGCGTTGCAAAAACGTTGCAGCGTTGCGGCGCAAAGATGAGGTTACGAAGAGCGCCGGTGGGTGTTTCCTGATTCTGACAGCTATTTACATAATCTGCAACGGGAGGAAGCGAGAATTTCGTCAGGCTTTGTGTGATTTCGCGTGACACAGCTCGGTTACGAACACAGACAGTATGTTTTTATAAAAGTGAACACTGTCCTTCAAATAGAAACAAAGATGGAGTAGAATGGTTGAATATTTGTGTTGTATTCGTGTGAAATTTTGGCAGCACGCTTTCCTACCTGCTATATATTTATGTGTCAGTGTACAGCGGCAGCCAGCGTTTGTTGGAGGTGAGCATTTGGACGGCATTTACAGAAAATTGTCGTCAATAATAGGTGAAAGAGAGTATAGAAACATGAAGACTGGTAGTAATTAGATTTTGTATTTATTTAGCATTATATTTTATTGAAATGCTCCAAGTGCCTGTGTTCATGCTCTTGATCATGAAGCAATTTACAGCCGATGGCATTGTAAGTGTTAACATCCAAACTGTCTTGTTTTCTGATTACTGCCAATAATACTAGTGTCGTCCACCCCTACATTCAAAGTTTAGAAAGTTGTTTTTAGAATTTTTATTTAAAAAAACTGCAGGTGCAACAACGAAATTGTGATGTTTGAATTTGCTATATATACAAATAAATAAATATATATCTGAATTCACAATGTATACAAGTACATACAAGTGGTAACCTCTCTCCAAACCGCTCTCACAATTAAGTTAACTCGCGTCGCACACCCTTGTCTCTCCCACACAGCAAGTTCCTCTACCCGAAGGCAGAGAGCGCCACCGCTGCAGCACCGCCGAGTGTCGAGCCGAGGGAGGATGTCATTTCCATGGCGACGGGCGAGGAGAGCAACGACTCCATGTTTAGTCGGACGAACGGACCGGGGTCGTGCGGCGAGGGCAAGCAGACGTCATCGGACGGCAGGCACGAGCTGCTTGCACAGCTAGATGACAGTCTCATCGACCAGCTCAAGGAGATGATACTTAACGGTGAGCGCTCGCCTGGCGATTACGGGCGCCGATAAACAACACTAGACCATCCTGGTTCAAGAATACGCCGATTCCTCCATTAACGTCGTAACTGATAGGCGGTATCTGACTGGTGATGATGATGATCGACGCTAGACCAGCCTTTTCTGCTCAATTATACACGAGTTTCTGCTAGTGACGTCGTAGTTAGATTTTTGAAATCGTTATTTTATGTGTGTTATACTGATTGTCGGTCGATTATGCGTCCTGGCCCATCTCGGTTAAACTTAAAGTATACACTGATTCCGCCATTGACGTTGTAGTTAGGTTCCTGAAAACTGCAACTTCAGTTGAAATGAAGATAATTTAAGAAAAATTTGACGGTTGGAAAAGTTAAGGATTGCACATGTGCCTAAATTTTTAACACATTAAGTTTGTATAAATAAAGAAGACATGCGTTGTTACATAAAGGGTAAAATTTTACTCAGTACATGGATTAGTTCTTATAATATAGCCTACGCCTCATTGACAGTGGTATCTTTTTTCTCAACGACACAATAAGGAAACAATGTTAAATGAAACTACGTTAACACTTAACAGTGTAATGACTTGTGTTAACACCTGTGTGCTTTAGCTGTAACTTTGTATGACAAAATCCTTCATCAGTAAGTTTAATTAAAACAGCCATCAGGTGGCACTGCTAGTCTGTTGAACGGTATTCATGAATGCCTATTGTGATTTTTGCATACAAAATTTGCAGATTCATCTCAAGATAACATACTCCGTGCAGAAACGATGCTCGCTGGTGCTTTAGCACTTGCACTGTGCTGTATCCTTGCATGCAAGTTTTTACCAATCGGGCCATATCTACATGGTTGCAACGTGATGACAGTGGTAATACACATCAGAAGTTGTTCACAGGGGATTATTATGAAGGCATTGAACGAGAAACAAATAACGTTTTGTTTACAATTTTGTTAGTTTTGGCAGTGCATAAGATACTGTAGCGTGTATAGATACTATAGTCTTCATAATAATGTGTTTTGTGTATGTTTAGTAAATGGATGGGTCAAAATTGTGGAAAGCAAATTAGGGCATACGTAAACGGTAATTGGGTGTAAGTATTGGATAACTGAAACATTGTCTGGTCATTGCCAGTTTGTGTGTCATTACCTTGACCCAGCTCACAGACATACATAGGATGATGAAGGAGCATACAAAACAAGGCTTGAAGTCACGTATTTTGGTGATCAAAGCTGGGGAGGATAGTGCATCTCAATACCTACCCTTCATGAATGCTGTTTTCACTGCACAAAAACTGGTATGCATGTCAGTATAATCTTATCTGTGTTGGTAACTAAGCTTACACATGTGTATTACTGGCTCATTTTCCTGCACATGCCAATTGGTGTGTTTCTCCAATCTTCTAGTTAGTGTCGTGCTTGTATTGTAGGTTTAGATGAAGATATTTTAACAGTGCATGCACATTTGTGCTTAAGCATCTTATGTGACACTGGCATGTACTTAGGTTTAGGTATTTTTAGCATTCTTCGTGTGATTTATTGTCTGTTTGGGAATTTCAGAACGTTCCAATTGATGCTTGCCTTTTGGGGAAGGATTCCGGGCTGCTGCAGCAAGGAAGTGACATCACTGGAGGAATTTATCTCCAAATTCCCAATCCAATGGGCCTATTACAATATTTACTGGTGAGCTATCAGTCTTTCACACGGTATATTTGTGACGTATGGTTTTACTTTATACTGCCTATGAAGGTGGCATTATAGAATGGTCCTCATTTAACAGATGCTTAGCTAAGCGAATTTGCCTGGGAGAGGGGCAAAGCGACATGCCTTTTGTTCTGGGAAGGTGCCAACCAATCATCATGTAATGTGTCTACATTTCTCTGGGAGTGGCAACTGCCCCCTTGATTTATAGCCACCATTTTTATAGATGTTACCATGATTTATAGATCACCATTTCATAGTGTGATAATGTGTTTTTTACAGTGGGTATTTTTGCCAGATGCTGATACTAGAGAAAAATTAGTGCTGCCACCTAGGGTGCAAGTGGACTACCGTGCAGCATGCTTCTGTCATCGTAACCTGATTGATATAGGATACGTGTGTTCAGTTTGTCTATCAAGTAAGACACAATTTTTTAATGTAATAGCTAGTGCAATACTTTTTCCTTAGATATAAGTATTATTTATCAGAGGTTTCACAAGGTAGCACAGCTCCCAGGTTATTTGTTGTGCAAAAAATCAATGTTAAAATTGAAAGTCATTATGGATAGTGACACTAGTCATTTCATTTCACTGCTCTCAAAGAATTCAATGTTTTTAATTTGTTATTACAGTTTTCTGCCACTTCAGTCCCATCTGCTCAACTTGCCAGTAAGTATGCAAAATGATAATCAATACAAATATATTGCTTACAATCAGATACATAACAAGATTTGCGTGCATAGCCAGTCTTGCTTGTTTAGTATAACAACCTGTAACCAGTAATTTGTCTTGTGTACTCTGTTTTTATAGGACAACTTTCAAGATCATGGGCCGGCCAGGAAAGGCAAAGAAACGAAAACTATTACCAAAGTGACTTGCAAGTAGTCTCGCAATATTATATTCTTGTACATATGTATATTTGATCGTGAATAAATTAATTTCGTAATCTGTTTCTAATCGATGGATGTTCGGCATTATAGTACTGTTGAGAAAATACAAAAATCCCATTGTAACTTTAAACTTTATTCTCCTTCTAGATCACCGTTTCACTTTACACGTGCTTAGCAATAGGAAACTATCAGTTAACAATTAAAAAAAGCATCAACAGATTTCACAGTGAATCATGTATCACCACCTTTCATACCAAAATGTAGAATCCATGACTCATAACCGTTTGAAGGAATGAAAATGTCGTTAGCACGTTCTAGAACAGTGACTCTCTATTGTACCAGTAGTAAGTTTGATTTGTACACCGGCTGCACAATCTTGCTAATATGAGTGTAATATACACGACATTTGCTAACGACTACGGATAACGCACTGCTGCTCAATGCTCCTCATCGTGGCTCTCCACCTTTACTTCGTAACCGTCCGGAAGAGCATTCAGAATCGGGTTGTGGAAGATCGAGTGGTTTCCGTCTCCCCACGGGAACCTCTGTAAGAGCAAGCAAATCGATCATCCACCGTGTCTTCAACACGAAACGATCCACAGCCTCTTCGCTCAATTACCGAATCGCGATCGATTTCCGAAACTAGAACTTTTTCTTTAACTACATTTTACAATCGCTCGTCCTCGATAGTACCTTGGTTCGCAGGCGCAAGTGCTCATACTCGTGGAACTCTGGCTGGTGTGGGTGAGCCAAGTGGTGTTTCTCGTACAGGTATGCGTTGATCATGCAGACTGCCACTCCTGGCAATGCCACGACGAAGGTCAGTATCTTCCAGGTCTTTGAACCGGCTGCAAATATTGTAAGGTGGCAGAGTCACCATACAGTAGTGATGTCACGATCATCGATTATACTCGATCATCGGTTGAACAGTGGCTCGAACCAAGCGCTTAGTGATGTCACGATCATCGATTATACTCGATCATCGGTTGAACAGTGGCTCGAACCAAGCGCTTGGTTATCAAAATCCATAATCGATTTCATCGGGGGGGAAAAAAAATTACACCCGATTGACAACACTAGTCACCATACAGCGCACAACACTCTACATGTACGATGCCACCAGAGCTCAGGCCAGCTGTCAGAAACAAACATTAGTCTTAACGTTCGAAGACGTTCCTTCTATTTTCTTAGACCGTTGGCAACTTGGCAGCAACATCATAACCTTCATACATCAAATTCATACAGTTGCACCTCATAATTTGGGCGAACAGATCACAATGTTAATACTAATACAGCAGAATAGTCTTACACGTATACATGTTTATAATATTCGTAATGGCTACATTGCTGCAGAAGACACACATACATAAACCGATACATTATACGATATGTGCTTTACGAACATGTCACCTGTGACACTCTACCAGTGTTAGTTATAAGTAGTACATTTCATTGCTAGAATTTGCTGATTAAATTATGAATTATTATTACTGCGACATCACTGTATCAGGTTGTGTTGTTACGCAGGTGGAATTTTGAATTACTCATCACAATAAAATTTAAGGTACAAACAACTGCTTTCTTGAAAATAACCAGAGTTGTTTAGCAAAACAATCAGTATTACAAACAAAGATTGAAAGAAGTCATGCCGTGGTACACTGTGACTGGATACATTATGATATGCACACAATAGACCGAATAATTCTGTCCCATATAACCTTTTTTATATTTTGGTGAGGGTTATTGGGACAGAACGGGGTTCATTGAAATTTCGTGAGATCGCATGCAAAATGCATGCGCTGCTAATGCGGCCCGTACGCTGCTATTGGCGCAAAAAAAACATATCGTTCCCTTCTACATGGCTTTACCTTGCTACTGATATGTGTATACATTCATTGACTTCAATCGTTATTCACTTCTTAAAAGACTGTTTTTCAGAAACCCCGCTTCATTCCACTTTAGGAGGCATAGAACAGTAAGCTTCCGCGATTGTTCACCGTTGCACTACTTCGTCTCTAGAAAAGGCCTTT